AAATTCTCATCGTTGATTAATTGAAAAATAAAAATGCCAGCTTCTGTTAATATAACTATATTATTCTTATTTATTGATTTATGAGCAAGAAACTTGATTTTTTGGACTTTTTTGTCATCTGTTTTTCTTGATTTATTTGCGTGACTTAAATATTTTTCTGCGCCAAATAAACGAATGAAATCTTTGCTAAAAGACAAATAATTTTCTTCAATATTAATATTATAAGAACTTTCTGCTAAATTTTTAACCTTTGTTATACGTTTAGTAAATTCCTTCGTTAATTTTTCGATTCTGCTTTTCCATTTTTTATGATCTTTCTCTTCTTTTTCAATTTTAGTTAGCAGTTCAATAAAATCCAACGTTAAAGCTTCATCAGATTTAATATCTAGTTTAATTATACTTTTCATTTTAATAATATAGTCTTTGATTGAATTTTTGTATATTTTTATTCGGCTTTCAACATCATTCTCATTTTTTTTAATTTTAATATCAGAAATCTTTTCAATAAAATTTTCCGTATCAATATTCAGAGCTTCATCGATTTTAAACTTCTGATTCTCTAATCCTTCAATTTTAATTTTCCATATAATAGAACCTTTATCTAATTCATACTTATTAAACAAATCAATTTGTTCTTGAGATAATTCAGATAATTCATCAAGTTCTATAGGCTCCTCTTTTTTTAATACCGCTGATGATACCAAGTGAAATTTGTCTACATTTACAAATTTATAAATTTCTGATTCAATATTATAGCCTTTAATGTCAGGATTCCAAATCAAACGATCATCAAATAAAAAATATGACAAATGTTGATGATGTATCATAAAACTTTTCAATTGTTCTAAAGAAAAAATTTCAAAATACTTTAATGCGGTCATATAAATAATTATATTTTAAAATTTAGTTTAAACAAAATGTTACCATCATTCAAATCCAATGACTTAGAAATTCCCAGTTTATCTGAATGAATAATAATTTTCTCATCATCCATTTTCAGGCAAGTATAATCTTGATCATTTGATATTCTAATATCTTCAATGTTAATCTGTTTTTTAAGAACTAAATGTTGGTAATAACAATAACTTTTAACACATCATAAAAATTATTATAATTATCCATTACCTCATATATATTCTTTCTTAAAATTATAATATACTTATTAGAAAGATTCCATTCATATATATTGTGATTGTAATTCAGCCAAATTTTGTCATCCTTTGATATGCTAATTACCTCCGCTTCTTTAGGTATCTTGTAAAACTTTCGACACTTGGTATTTTTGCTTTGTTTTATGATTAAATAAACACAAACAATATTTATATATTCAAATCTAGTGTTTGTACTGACAGAACAAAATAATATCAGTTGTCCTTGTTCGTTGAAGTTACAAAATTCTACCTTCATTTCATCAAATTCAAAATACAATTTGATTTCTTGAAATGGTTCATTCATATCGATGATTTCTATAATAAATAATTGGTACTGAAGTTTTCATCTATTAACAATTTAAACAAAAAATATAATCATTTTACTTACTAATGTCATATTCATCATCAATATAAGCTAATATCATTTCATTAGAGATACACATATGGATAATACTTTTATTCAATTCATTCTCGCAACTTTTTAAAAATTGGCTTGCTTTTACGCATTTGCTTTCTAATACATCTTTAATACTTCCAACATTCCAACAGACAAATTTCTCGTTGACTTCACTGTAAGTAACAAGATATTTTCCATCGGGGGAGAATTTCATCATACTAACAGGACTACCTTTATGTGGGGTCTCGTCATATTGAGGTGGAATTTCGATAGAAACTTTATTACTCATTTCTGAAATAAAAATTTGGTAATAAGAAAGTACGATAGAT